TCCCAAGTGGAGCCGCTGTTTGCAGTTGGGTGCTAAGGGACATCTATCTCACAGGGATCTGGCCCTGAGGTCAGGAAGCAGCTCTGCAGGCACGGCCAGCTCCCAGGTCCCCATGTGGACGGCGCCTGGGGCAGGCAGCAGGTGCCACAGTCAATTCTCACTCAAGCCAGAGCTCACTTTTGAGGGTGGGGGGAGGGGACGCACACTGCCGCAAGGACTCTGCTGTCACAGGACATGGTGCCAGCCCCTCAGAGAAGGAGAGAGAAAACGGTTGATGGATCCCTGTTTAGTGCCCAGGTTGACTTAGGGCTTCGCTGGGCTACTTCTAGGACAACAAGCACTAAGTCGGCCAGAACAAAGTTCAAAGAAGCCCCAGCAGCTTCCACGGGGGAGCTCAGCCCCGTTTTCTCCTAAAGGTGTGCGTCCTTCTGCCTGGGAACAGTCAACCAGGTGATGTGACGGAGGACAGATGTGCTCTGTTTCACGGTCCTTTCCGCCCTCATAAAGACTCCGACGTGGCCGTAAAATCGCCTCTGGCACCCTCGCCCTCCAGGGACTGAGGCCAAGCAGGTCCCGGTCCCCACCAGCTCCTCCAGCTTCACCGGGTACCCGCCCGCCTGTCTGGGGGGACCCTCAGATGCGCCCTGTGCTGGGGTTCTGTTGCATGCACTCAGAGTCGAGGGGCGCAATAGGAAAGCCAAGAAATGATCTCCATAAAGAAAACTGTAAGTATGTCATCAAATGTCTTAATTTCTCTGAAGTTTACTCAAGGACCATAAAGTACACCTCCAAACACCACACACTCCTTAAACAGCTATTAAGTTCTGATCTGATCTATTTAAGGAAACACCACGTCTATGGGAGCAGGGCAAGGAGCCAAGCGTGTGAGTCACCTCTGGCGACACGCGCAGGCCCCATTTCCTCAGGGCTCACATGGCATGGGCCCCGCGAGGACAGCGGCCAAGCGCAGAGGCAAACCTGAAGGCGACAAATACCTATAAACACCGCAGGCCCGGAGCTCCTGGAGAGGCGCACACAGCCTGCTGGGCGCTGGGACGGCCTGCGGTGTGGGCAGCCAGGCCACTCTGACTGCAGACCTGAGCGTGTGGCCTGGGGACTGCAGTGCCCTGCTCCAGGTGGGGAGGACAGGCTCCATCCTGAAGTCCAGGTGCTGGTAACCAACTTGTGAAGCGGAGGAGGAAGCCAGGGCAGGCGGCCAGAGCTGAGGCAGCCCCTGAAGCCGGGGCCCTGCTTCTGGGAGGCGCTCCAGCAAGGACACGCAACCCTCACCGTGCGCCAGGCCACCTGCCTGTTCGGGTATATCCCCGGGGGCGTTGGTCCCTGGTCTGGAGCAGGTCTGGCCATCATGTCCTTGAAGGGCCCCAGGTGACCCGCGTGCGCAGATAAGAGGGAGGAGCAGTGACCTTTAGGGCCTCAGAGAGAACTGCGTGAGTTCTGAGGAGGCTCCTGGCCCAGCCTAGAGCCATGTGGGACCCTGGGTGCTGGGAACCAAGCACCCAGGGAACTCTCCTGCCCTGGAAGCCTGGGGGCCGTGGGGAGGGCAGAACTGCAACAGAGAAAGACTGCCGTGGACAGCACAGCGCCGCAAGAGGCTCTTCTGCCCGGACTGTGAACAGGGGTCACAGTACCGTACAGCTCCATCTGCCAGCGGCAACACCATGGGGGCACCAAGAGCGGAACCTCAAATGTGGGCGCCCTGCAAGAAACATGATCTGTGGTTCCTTCAAAAGGAAAGTGAAGAAAAGACAAGGGAAGGGAATTTGTGGGCTGATGGGGGAATGCAATAGGGGAGTCCCATTTGCAACTTAATTCAAGCCAACCAGTCCTAACTGTGATTCTTGGGAAGTCTGAAGACACTGAAAGGCTGAGGTTCGTGTCGGGATCCTGCGGGTGGGTGTGGGGTGAGTGAGAGTACCCGTGCTGACGTCCTTCAGCCGGCGGTGTGTGCACGAGTGTTGTGCGACTGTTCTTGCCACTTCCATGTATACACGAAAATCTCCATTACAAATGTACAACTCACCAGACAACACAACTGCCCACGAGCAAAAACGGCCAAAGGACCCATACGGACGTTTCTCTCAGGCAGACGTGCAGATGACCTACACACACAGGACAAGGACGGCGCACGGGCAGGCGCGTGGCACAGCAGTTACGTGGCTGCTTGGAAGGGGTCCCTTCCAGGCATGTGGGAGATCCAGACTGAGTTCTTGGTCCCCAGCTTTGGCCTGGCCCAGCTCTGGCTATCATGGACACTTGGGAAATAAACCAGTGGATGGAAGATCTCTGTTTGTCTCTCTTTCAAATGAAATGAAGCTAAATAAACATTTTTTTAAAAAAGAAGAAAAGAATGGCTCAACACCATTAGTAATTAGGAAAATGCAATTCAAAACCATAATGAGGTAGTACTTCACACCCACTAGGATGGCTCATTTGTTTTTTTAAAAAAACCGAAGGAATTTTTTTTAAATATTCCTTCATCAATCTTTTTTGTTTGTTTGTTTTTAAGATTTATTTATTTGAAAGGTAGAGCTACAGAGAGGCAGAGGCAGAGAGAAAAACAAAGGTCTTCTGTCCACTGGATCATTCCCCAAATGGCCGCAATGGCTGAAGCTAGGCTGACTGAAGCCAAGAGCCAGGAGCTTCTTCTGCGTCTCCCTTGCAGGTGCAGGGGCCTAAGGACTTGGATCACCCTCCACTGCTATACCCAGGCCATAGCAGAGAGCTGGAATGGAAGTGGAGCAGCCGGGACTCGAATCAGTGCCCACATGGGATGTGGCAAGGCACATGTGGCGCTGGCCCCCAGAAGGAACAAATGTTAAGTGTTAGGACACAGAGAAGTGAGGGGCCTGGCATGCTGTGGGTGGGGTCATCAAGTGAGGCAGCCACAGAGCAAAAGTCTAGCAGCTCCTCTGAGAATGAAGCAGAGTGACCGTGGGGCCCAGCAGTCCGTCCCCTGTGCGTGAAGGTGGACGTCTCACAGAGGCCTCTACAGGAATGTGCATGGCAACGTTACCTTAACAGCCAAGAGCAGAGGCAACCCCCATGCCCACCAGGGGGGAACCAGCGAACAATGTGTGGGCTACCACATAGTGGGTGGTGTTTCAGCCATAAGAAAGGATGACGCGGGGCCGGTGCTGTGGCGCAGCAGGTTAAGCCCCCGCCTGCACCAGTTTAAGACCCAGCTGCTCCACTTCTGATCCAGCTCCTCTGGGAAAGCAGCGGAAGATGGCCCAAGTGCATGGGCCCCTGCACCCATGTGAGAGACCGGAAGATGCTCTGGGCTCCTGGCCTTGGCCCAGCCCAGCCATCTGGGGAGTGAACCAGCGGATGGAAGATCTCTCTGTCTCTCCTCCTCTCTAACTCTGCCTTTAAAACAAACAAACAAATCTTTAAAAGAATAAACAGAAGGAATGAAGCACTGACCCCTGCTAACATGGACGTACCCTGAAACCTCATGCTGAGACACGAAAGGCCACAGGGTGTCCAGGTCCATCCATATGAAGTTCCCAGAGACAGGAAGTGGATTACAGTGAGCAGGGTGATGCAAAGTTCTGGCAGCAGGAGGTAGTGATCAATGCACAGTGCTTCACACCACTTAAACACGGCTAAATCATAAATGTCTTTATACATTTTACCTCAATTAAAAAAAAAAGTTTGGAAGGACGAGTGTGTGGCCCAGCAGTTAGGATGCACACAGCCCACGTCAAAGAGCCAGGGCTTGATTCCCACCTCTGGCCGATGCAGACCCTGGCAGGCAGCAGGTGGCTCAAGTTCCAGGGTTCCTGCCACCCACGTGGGAGATCTGGACTGAGTTCCTGCTCATTCAGGGGGGAGAAGCGGTGGATGGGAGTGCTCTGGCAGGTCTCTGAAGCAGTTTATGCTCAGTAACTCCACACAGCACGCAGATCCCAGGGCGTGTCCTGACACACTGTCCCAGGTACACTCAGATGGCCCACAAGCGGGGTCTGCAGGAATTTATTAGGGTTCTGTTTAAAAAAAATAAAATAAAAAGTCTTTTCAAATTTTCTCAAAAACAAGCAAGCAAGCACTAAGGGTAGGAAGCAGGTATCAGGTGGCTTCCGTTAGCACAGGGAAACACAGAGCAGCTCCCATCACTCGAAAGGCCTCGGCTGCCGCCCCAGCCCGGGGAAGGGGAGCGGGCCTCATTCTGAGACAGGGTCTCACTGAGCGACGGTGACCCTGCCCGGTATGCGCAGTGGCAGCACCCCCTAGGCTGCAGCGTCAACTCTCCTGACGCTGTATCTCAGGGATGTAGTCTCAGCTGTAGAGTTTGGTCTGGGCTTCATGTGCTGAGACTTTTTTTTTTCTAAAGGCAAATGAATCGATTTTGAGGGAACAGTGCAGAATAAATAGGTGTCACCTGAAGTCCCACAAGCCCTCCAAAGGGAGACGTTTCAGGGAGGAGCCCACCAGGCCCACAGCAGCTGCCTTCTGAGCCAGGGAGAGACAGGCGGCCAGTGAGCGCGCGGGCTGGGGCGCAACTGACCGGCGAGCTTGGTGCGCGGCAGCCTAGGAACGCGTTCCTCAGGTTTGGCTCAGCTCTGGCGGGGGTTATTTCTCCCTACAAGCCGATTCTAACGAGGACACTCACAGCAGTCCCGAAGCAACATTCACCCGGGCGTGAGGAAGGGAGGACAAGGGGGCACAAGGCACGCCCTCCTCCTAACCCCCAGGACCAAGGTCACCGCTGCTGTGTTCGGGCTCCTAAGGAGATGGACCCATATCTGAGGGCTGTCTGCCACGGAAGCCCTGCTCTGACGAAAGCTAACGCGAGAATTCTCCAGTCAGGGGCACATTCTGACAGCCCCACGTCAAGTCTTAGGGAATTCCCTGTGTGGGGCGGGAAGGCGCCGCTCTGCAGACTAGCCCCGAGAGGCAGGTGGTGTGGGCGAGGCACACAGGCCTCTGGACCTGGGCTATGATGCGGGTGCCACCTGGCTCCAGGACTAAGGGCACAGTTTTATTTATTTTTTAAAAAAATTTTTTTTTTTTTGACAGGCAGAGTGGACAGTGAGAGAGAGAGACAGAGAGAAAGGTCTTCCTTTGCCGTTGGTTCATCCTCCAATGGCCGCCGCGGCCGGCGCGCTGCGGCCGGTGCACCGTGCTGATCCGATGGAAGGAGCCAGGAGCCAGGTGCTTTTCCTGGTCTCCCATGGGGTGCAGGGCCCAAGCACTTGGGCCATCCTCCACTGCACTCCCTGGCCACAGCAGAGAGCTGGCCTGGAAGAGGGGCAACCGGGACAGAATCCGGCACCCCAACCGGGACTAGAACCCGGTGTGCCGGCGCCGCTAGGCGGAGGATTAGCCTAGTGAGCCGCGGCGCCGGCTAAGGGCACAGTTTTACTAACGCTTCTCCTCTGCGAGATGCACAACGTGCAGGGTGCTGTGCCGAGACTACTGCAAGGCGGTGGGACGGCTCCTCTGGCTGAGCCACGCCCGTCCTACCCTCTTCTCCTGCCTCCCCTGTGCTTCTCCCTGGGAGCCTGTCTATTCCACCTTCTAACTAACAAGACTGCACCCCCCGGGTACCAGAAGACGGCAGCGGTGTCGGCTCCTGAACCCCTCCTTCTCTGGTCGGTGCCCCTGAAGGAGACGCTGCCCTCGGTCAGGGATGAAGATGAGGGCCCTGTGAGTAGCCACACAAACGTGTGTCCTGGGGTCTCCACAGTGCGTCACCCAAGCACTCTGCTTCTCCCTCAGGCTCAAGGCGGGGCTGAGTCCCGACCCAACGCTGCACAGAAAACCTGCCCTCACCAAAGGTCTGCTGAACAATGTTCTGTAAGAATACTAGGAAGACAGGTAGAAAAGGACCCAGAAACCATGTCCAAAGAATCCGAGAGCCTCCGTATAGAGACTGAGTTTGAAGAAAATCAAACAACTTCATGTCTGAAAATGGGAGCTGCTGGGCCGGCTCTGTGGCACAGAGGATTAAAGCCCCAGCCTGCAGGGCCACCATCCCATATGGGCAGCGGTTCTAGTCCTGGCTGCTCCACTAGCTCCATTAGCTCCCAGCTAATGCACCTGGGAAAGCAGCAGAGGATGGCCCAAGCCCTTGGGCCCCCATATGGGAGACCCGGAAGAATCTCCTGCCTCCAAGCTTCAGACTGGCTCAGCTCTGGACGTTGCAGCCATTCAGGGAGTGAACCAGAGGATGGAAGGCCTCTCTGTGTGTCTCTACCACTCTCTGTAACTCTTTCAAATAAATGAATGTATGAATGTATGAATGTATGAATGTATGAATGTATGAATGTATGAATGGAAGGAAGGAAGGAAGGAAGGAAGGAAGGAAGGAAGGAAGGAAGGAAGGAAGGAAGGAAATGAGAGGTGCTAGACACTTCATCAACCATGACAGACAGCACAGATGTATTTGGATTCATCCAAATACTAATATCTGTGAAACACACTTTATGCACACAGCACACTACTAATTCAACAGAGGGCACACAGATCCAGGGCACCGCACAGACAGTGAAACCCCAGGCACACTCTGGAGGCGTCACGTTCTCTGGGGCCTGGCTCAGAGGTAGCCCACCTGCCCGCCTCACACCCAGGACCTCTGATGGGTGCACGGAGAAAGGAAGGGGGTCTTCCTGAGGTCACAGGTGATGCACTGAGTCTCACACAGCACCACCCAGGCCATCCAAGCACAGGCAGCATGGATGAGAAATGCCCTGTGGTCTGGCAGGAACTTGGGAAGGAAACGGTCTCAGGAGAGATGCTTGATACAGCGTGCTCACCTTACGATGAACTTACTGCATGGCTTACGGCAGGAACTGAAGTGATCTTTCAGATCTGCCCGTGCATCGGTTTCTACACCTACCAGGTACCATTTTGGCAGAGGGAAATGGCAAGACATCTATAAAAGGAACACACGTGTGGTGCCGCCTCTCGTACCTCCCTTGGAGCCCAAGCTTGATGGTTTATTTACCTGCCTTTCCTGTAGAGCAATAAATGAGTAGGGGAAGCCACAGCACATTCACTTTGGACCACACAGAAGACGATACCACCACTGGGACAACGTGACCAAGGGAGCTGTCCCCAGGGCCCTGCGTGTGGTACCTTACTCCTGATCCCATAGTGTTTCTGGTTTTATTTTACATAAGTGTTGTCCTCAGCTCTCCTTGCTTTCTTCTTGGCACCAAACACACAGGGAGGCAGCAAGGCAGAGGGGTGAGGGTCACAGGAGGAACACGGGGGTGGAAGGAGAGATGCCACACAAACCTGGGTTTCTCTGAAATGCAGCAAATGAGCGCTTATAACTACAAACCTGAGTCAGAGCAAGGTTAAATGAAGCCCAGGGAAAGCATAATTTTAGAAGACCTGGATATGCCATGTTTCAGAAGTGATCTGGAAAGTCCCCTCGGGAAAAAGGTCACGTTCTAGCCTGCACTCTGTTCCTCACTGTATATAGACTCCTTTGGATGTACACAGTAAGCATTATAAATATGTTTCATAACTGATATAGAACAAAGAAGAGGAAAGCCTTCACAGGTTGAGAGGCATCCTGGAGACCCACGGCCAAGAATGTCCCCTCACGGGGGCCTGGAGGGCCAAGGCCTTGCTCTGTCATTGGCACAAGGCCAAGGGTGGCTCTTGCCCTCCTGGCAATGTAAGGTTTAAGACCAAGCCCAACAAGACCCACAGACTGTATTTTCTTGGCATCTAATTTCCTCTCAAAAGAGCTGAGATGAAAGGTGCAGCACGTTTAGCCCCAGGGCTGCAGAGACCCATGCATCTGCAGCCCCACAAAACACTTCCTAATCTGTTTTCCTTCCTGGAGCAGCCACGGCCGGCCGTCCCTGATAAACAGGACCTTACTCTAGAGAAGACACACCTTCTTCCTGCCCCGTTGGTCCCTCTCTGCTGCTACGTGCACCTTGCAGGCCTTACTGCAACCATACTATCTTCAAGCTGTTCTTAAATCCTTACTCTGTCACCTCTCTGAAACCTAAGTAGGGGTCCACAGGCCACAAAGGTCCCTTTCATCCATACTTCACACCACACATAGAAATGAACTCCATTACATGGAAAAACACTTTACATTTCATAGACCTAAGTGTCTAAAACTTACAGAAGAAAAATACGAGAAAACGCTTTGCCATCTTAACTTAGTCAAACATCTCCTTTTTATTTCACTTCATTGATCTGGAAGACAGAGACAGACAGACAGATCTCACTTGCTGGTTCACTCCCCAAATGCCTGCAACAGCCAGAGTTGGGCCAGCCCAAAGCCAGGAACCTAGAACTCAATCCAGGTCTCCCACAAGGCTGGCATGAACCCTAGTACTTGGGTATCACCTGCTGCCTCCCAGGGTGTGCATCAGCAGGAAGCTAGATTGGAAGTGGAGCTGGGACTCAAACCCAGGAACTCTGACATGGGATGCAGGCATTGCAAGCAGTGACTTAACTGCTGCACCTACGCGCACCCCTACATTTCTTTAATATATAAACACCAAAAGCATGCACTGTACCATAAAAGAAAAAATACGTTTATAAATGGGATGCTGATGAAGACTCTGTGAGAAAAGATAAGTCACAGACTGGAAAGAAACATTTGCATGTATTTCATAAAGGAGTTCAATCCAGGAGGGGGGAAAAAAGAACACAATAAAAAGAAAATGGGCAAAAGAGCTGAATAGACACTTTGCCCAAAGACACACAGGGCAACCAAACACAGATGATGCGCAGCAGCAGGACCTATCAGGCAAGTACAGAACTGAAACCATGAAGAGGAACCACTACTACCTTGTGAATAGCCAGAGGGCGGGCATGCAGTCTCGGCAAGGAAGTGAAGGAACTGAGTGCCCACACACCGTGGGTGGGGAGGCAGATGGTATAGCCACTTAGAAGACTGGTCAGCAGCAGCTTCTTCTTTTTTTCTTTTTATAAAGATTTTTATTTATTTGAAAGAGTTATACAGAGAGAGAAGGGGGGAGAGAGAGAGAGAGAGAGAGAGAGAGAGAGAGGTCGGTCTTCTGGCAACAGCCAGAGCTGTGCTGATCCAAAGCCAGGAACCAGGAGCCTCCTCATGTCTCCCACACAGGTGCAGGGGCCCAAGGACTTGGACCATCCTCTACTGCTTTCCCAGGCCATAGTAGAGAGCTGGATCGGAAGTGGAGCAGCCAGGACTCCAACTGGCGCCAATATGGGGTGCTGGCACTGCAGGTGGCGGCTTTACCCACTACACCATAGCACTGGCCCCAGTAGCTTCTTAAAATGTCACACCTACACCTGCCACATGATCGAGCCATCCCACTTCTCAGATGTCCATTTCAACAGATGGGATGCTCCTGTGGGCCAAAATTCTTATGGTGAAACCCTCACCCTCTGCATGGCCATGTGAGTGCCTGGGACCTCTGGAAGTAATCAGGGCATGAACAGGATCAACGCCCGTAAGAGGGGACCTCCACAGCTCTTCCTCTGCCACGGGTGGGTACACCTGGCAGATGGCCCTCACAACAACCTGACTGTGAGAAGCACATTCCTGTCATTTATAAGCCACTCTGCCACGGCAGCTCAAAGTCACTAAGATGCCGCTGGGACCTCTCCCTGGTGATGACACTCGCTCGTCAACCTTTACGGGAGCTTTACTTACAGGAAGCAGTAACTGGAAAAACCCAGTGTCTGCCCACAGCTGAATGACTAAACAGATCGTGGTGATTTCACACAATGGACTGATATTCAGGAAAAAAAATCAATGAGTGATACGCACGACATGATCACTCAAAATAATTATGCTAAGAGAAAGGAACCAGAACTCCACCCTCGTACACCCATGACTCCACGTGTATGAGATTATAGAAAGTATGAACAATCGCAACGACAGCTGACAGATGGTTGCCTGTGGATGAGGGCAGCATACGGGGGTGGTGATGATCTGGTGGCCCTCAGAAGCGGTCCTGAGTTTCACAGGGGTGCGTATGTCCTGAGTTATCACTGTGATCTCTAAATACATGTAGTTTATTATATGTGCCAGTTATATGTCTACTTTTATTTATGTTGTTATTAGTTAGGAGACAGATAGAGCTCCCATTGGCTGGTCCACTTCCCAAATGCCTACAACAGCCAGGACTGGGTGGGCCAAAGCCAGGAGCTGGGAATGTGATCTAGATCTCCCAGGTGGGTGGTGGGGACCCAACTACTTGATCTATCACCTGCTGTCTCCCAGGGTCTGACTAGCAGGAAGCTGAAATCAGGAGCAGAGCCAGTGTGGGAGGTGGGCAGCCTAACTGTCATCTTGGCTGCAGCACACCCACCCTGGAAACATGGCCACCCTGCTCTGAGAAAGCCTAGGCCACGTCTGAGACAGGCTGTCTGTAGGTGTTCTCACTGCAGGCCCAGGGAGCCATCATCGACCCTGGTCAACCAGCTCCAAGCTGCCTCGAAGGGGGCTGAGAGGAGCAGAGACGAGGATGGCCCCCAGGCCCTGCCCAGCCCTACGTAAGCTGCAGATTCATGAGCTACAGAGATGTCATCATTTTTAAGCTACTGCGTTTTGGGTGGTGTCTGCAGACACCCAGACCAGCCTCCTTTCTCCTGCATCTAAAGAATCCATTGGGCAAGGAAAGTGGTTTTTCTTTCCCTAGTGTCTAGGGCTTAGTTCCTTCTCACAGGGATTTACCATGAGGCAGCAGGGGGGCGGCTTTACAAATAACCTGGTTCCACAAATGCAGAGGTCACCCTCACCCTCAAAGGCCGTAATGACCTCAGGCTAAACTCGTTTGTTGAGAATCCAGAGCTATCACATGGATAATGAAATCAACCCGCCAAACCTGGACTCTTCCGCAGAGGTCTCGCTACGCTGGCATCCCATCCAGAGACTGCAAGGCACAAGAATAAAACGATTTCGCGTGATGTGAGGAAGCAGAGGGCTGTGTGCTCTACTGGGGATGACATATGAAGATGGTCTGACCCAGACAATTTAATGATGCTACTTTTAGCAAAATAATTAAGCAGATCTTGCAAATGTTACTTATCTGATTTCCCTTCCATTTCTCAGCATTACTCACAATAGAAATACCTACTTATGGAAACTTACTGCAGGGCCCAGGACACAGCCAGGGAGGCAGGACAGTGCAGGAGGGGCCTGGGGCCTGGGGCCCGGAGCACGGAGCCCCAACAGCATGGTCCCAAGGCACAGCAGCCTCACCTGGGAAATGGGGGCCACCTCAGATCCCACTGCCTCACCTTGTGAGAGCGGACTTTGGGGTGCTGATTCAACACTCTTGGGACTTATCTATGGAAATGCATCCTGAGACAATGATTTTGAAGCTAAGCAAGGACAATGGCCATCAAGGCCCCGCCCCCACGAAGGTTTTCTCTGTTAGCAGAGGGAATAAAACGGAGACAGAAGGCAGCGGAAAGGGACAGAACTGTGTGCAGATGGGCAGACAGGCAGCTGTAGCGCAGAGACCCTCTGCTGGTCTGCCACACAGGTACATCTGGGCCACCGCCACCTCTGCGCACAGACCACGCCCCCACCAGGCAGCAGGCCCTGGGGGTTGCTCTGAAAGGTGCTCACAGTGAAGAAAGTGGAAACCGGCACTAGGAACGGGCGCTGTCAGTCATTCTCTTACTCCTTCACTGGGGTAAGGAAAATCTAGTGTGTGTCAGACAAGGGGAAAAAAAATACCTTGACAGAGTCGTTGGATCTGAGGCCGTCCAGTGGGGCTGGGTGGGTCTGTGGGCCATAGGCAGCATGTCCTTCGTAAGCAGGTTGCTAGCTGTGGCTGGAAAGCCTGTCTCCAGACCGGTCAGCATCTGCCCCACTAATAGCTTCTTGTGCTGCATGTGTGACCTTGAGGCTTTAAATCGCACCTCCTGGGTGGCTGCAATCTCACCCAGAGCTAGCACAGGAGGGGGCCATCTCCAGGAGACCCTCAACCCATCTCCATGAGCCAATCAACACACAGAATGTGAAACCCCCATCCAATGGGCACCCCTACAGACTGACCCAGCGAAAAAAACAGTAATGCCTTAAAAACCCGGGACACTTCCTCAAAGCCAGTCCCACTAGGGCACCCCGCCTGCTCTCCTCTCGCTTGCCAATCAAATAAGTTTCTTTTCTGTCAAATAAAAGTTTCTGCCTCTTTGCAAACTGTTGCCCGGCTTTTTATTTCTATACTAAGCCAAGGAAAAGAACCCATGAGATTCTCTCCTGCAACCGCCGTCCCCTCTGCAACCGTAACATCATCTACCCCCTACAAAAAGCTGATGAAACAAATTTATGCTAATGGTACTGAGCAATTAATTTTTAAAAATATACTGGCCTGACATTTCTGGAAATAGACATTTAAATGGTGGCTGTCAAAATCATGTTTAAACGGAATGCAGGGACTGCACAGTGATTCCGGGAAGTTTGTTTCCCAGCTGCTGTGTTTGGCATTGCTAGGAATTCCCTGAAAACAGGAAACGGTTCTCTCACTGCTTGTGACCAAGAAGCCATCGTCTAACCCAGCTGTGAGTGGTGAGGAACACAGGCCTGGGAGAGAAGAGCCTGCAGCACGTGCCCTTCGACCCCGGGTGGACCGCACAGCTCTTGCCTGAGCGCCAGAACTCCTGCATGGAGATCTTGTGAGCAGGCCAGAGAATGACAAGACACCATCTCCCTGGCTTCACTGCGGAGAACTTGGGAGCACGCGCTGTCCATGCAAGGCCTGGGTGGGACTACAAAATGGGCCATTCTTTTGCCCCTTTGTCAAGTATTCTTAACCCCTGAGCACAGTGATACTTGGACACAATAAGACCTTTCTGAAAACAGACTTCCCATGCCCAGTGACAATGGAAAATGCAAAGACGGAGACTTTCAACCTAGATCTGATTCAGGTCAAAACCCTTATCTGCTGCCTGCACCTTTTTTCTTTCATGGCTCTGGCAAGTCATTGCTGTGACCTAAGGCTCCAGTTATAGAAGAGGAAACAAACCAACTCAGCTTTGCTGTGACCATCAGGAACTCCTAATGCGTTCTCTCTACTGGCACAACTCCCAGCTCTCCCTAATGGCTCTCATTCCAGCCTGCCCCAGCCCTGACGCTGACCATGAAGGGAGGCGCAAGGAAGATGGGAGGGGGAAACAGGGGAGGAAGGATGGGGCAGGCGTGGCTTTCTGCCATGTTTCTCCTAAAAGACACTGAACTCTTTGGGGGGGGGGGGGCTATCAACAGGAATCAACCTCCTCAACCTCAGCCACCCACGGGGAGAGGGACCAGGTGCTAGGGGGACACAGAGACCAAGAAGGATCAGGAGAGCCTGAGCCTCTGGGGCAATCTCTAGGTCAGGTGCAGAAGCCACCCAGCCTGCAGGCTGGAACCACAGGTGTCAGCAGCCACAGGGAGCGTGGCTGACAAAGGTGCCAGTCTCATGCCTAGGTAAGGCGGTGGCAAGCCCTGCACCAAGCATTTCATACAATTAACCAGGAGAACTTCCTTTTCTCCCTTTGTCTTCAGTCTTTTAATACAAAGGAAGCTGTGAAGGGCTGAGCTATTTTTATCGTCCACTAGTTCTTAGTCTAGTGACTCCAATGCCCCAGGCCACACAATTCTGGAGGGACAAAGGCACCTTTGTTTCTGCATAGTCAGAGGGCAGGGAGGGGCAGGTTTTCCGCTTGGTAGTTAAGATGCTGCCTAGGATGCCCACATCCCACATCAGAATACCTGGGTTCAATTCTTGGCTCCTGCTGCCAATTCCAGCATCCTGTTAATGCGGGGTAGCCATAATGATGGCTCAAGTAACTGGGTCCCTGCCACCCATGTGGAAAACATGGATGGAGTTCCCTGCTCCCAGCTTGGGCCTGGCCCAGCCTCAGTTGTTGCAGGCATTTGGGGAGTGAACCAGCAGAGGAGAGCTCACTTATTTCTTTGTCACATAAATAAAGACATAAATAGGCTAGACAATATTGCCACAAACAACCATTGGGGGCACTAAAACCAACCAAAGGTCAGCACATTAATAAGCACGACTCAGGAAAAGCGGCTAAGACTTCAGGTAAACAGTGGAGCCTGAGGCCCTCCTTGCCTAAAGCTGCTCTCAATTCTTCTTCTAATTTTAATTTTTTTATAAAGATTTATTTATTTTGAAAGTCAGAGTTATACAGAGAGAGAAGGAGAGGCAGAGAGGCAGCGCTCTTCCATCCACTGGTTCGCTCCCCAGATGGTTGCCAACAGCTGCGCGGATCTGAAGCCAGGAGCCAGGAGCTTCTTCCAGGTCTCCCATGAGGGTGCAGGGGCCCAAGCACTTGGGCCATAATCTACTGCTTTCCCAGACCACAGCAGAGAGCTGGATCAGAAGTGGAGCAGCCAGGACTCGAACTGGCACCCATATGGGATGCTGGCAGTACAAGCAGTGGCTTTACCTGCTATGCCACAGCACTGGCCCCATTCTCTTTTAATTTTTAAAAGCTATATAAAACACCATTCTAAAGTAATTATAAAAACACATTCTTGGGGTTATAATCAAATAAATGTAAATGGCATAACAATAATAGAGGGGCCAGCACTGTGGCATAGTAGGCTAAGCCTCTGCTTGTAGCACTGGCATCTCATATGGGCACTGTTTTGTGTCCTGGCTGCTCCACTTCTGATCCAGCTCTCTGCTATGGCCTGGGAAAGCAGTAGAAGATGGCCCAAGTCCTTGGGCCCCTGCATCTTCATGGGAGACCCAGAAGCAGCTCCTGGCTCCTGGCTCCAGATCAGCCCAGCTTCAGCCGTTACAACCATTTGGGGAGTGAATGAGCAGATGGAAGACCTCTGTCTGAAACTGCCTCTCAAATAAATAAAATAAATCTTTCTAGCCCTCTCTTTGTAACTCTATATCTGAAATAAATAAAAATGTTTAAAACAAACAAACAAAAAAACCCCAATACTAGTGCAAAGGAAAATGGAGCTACACGAAAACAAAGTTGCTATATTTTACCCAATGTAGTCAGGAAAAACTTATGTAAACTGTGTTAAGAATTATAGTATAGGGGCTGGCACTGTGGCACAGTGGGTTAAGCCACCCCTTGCAATGCCAGCATCCCGCATCAGCTCAAGTCCCAGCTCCTTCACTTCCTCCCTGCTAATGGGGCTGGGAAGGCAGCAGAAGATGGCCTAATAAGCACCTGGGCCCAGCCCCAGCCAGTGAGACTATCTGGGGAGTGAACCAGCAGATGGATGACCTTTAGCATTCTCTATCTCTCCCTCTCTCTCTTTCACTCTGCCTTTCAAATAAGTTTTAAAAGGTTTACAGTGCAATCCTTAGAGTGAGAAAGTAACTTTTGGGGCAGGTGTGACATGTGGTTAAGTCGTCACCTGGGACACTGACAGCCTACACCAGCCTGTAGGCTATTTTGAATCCCAGCTCCTCCACGTCTGATCCACCTTCCTGCTGAGGCACACCCAGGGAGGCAGCGGTAATGGCTCAAGTAGTTGGGTCCCTGCCACCCATGTCGGAGACTCAGATGGTGTTCCTAGCTCTGGGATTTGGCCTGGCCCAGGTCTGGCTGTTCTAGGCATATAGGGAGTGAACTAGCAGATCAAAGATCTATCTCAGAGCCGGCGCCGTGGCATAGTGGGCAAAGCCACCACCTGCAGCGCCGGTATCCCATATGGGCATCTGTTCAAGTCCCAGCTGCTCCACTTCCAATCCAGCCCTCTGCTATGGCCTGGGAAAGCAGTGGAAGATGGCCCAAGTCCTTGGGCCTCTGCACCTGTGTGAGAGACCCAGAGGAAGCTCCTGGCTCCTGGCTTCAGCTTGGCGTAGCTCTGGCCATTGCAGCCACTACGGCCATTTGGGGAGTGAACCAGCGAATGGAAGACCTCTCTCTATGTAACTCTGACTTTCAAATAAATAAATACATCTTTAAAAAAAAAATCTATCTCTTAACTCTTTAAATGAAAATAAATTTTAAAACAAGGTCATTTCAAAATGCTAGAGGTAAATTTCTCAAGAGACCACACTCTTAAACATTGATAACACTTAGTCAATTTAAAAAGTACACAAAACTATCAGAACTTTGAGGAGAAATAAATCCACAAATACAGTCAACAGATTCTAATATCTCTCTCAACAGCTGAAAGATTAAGTAGACAAAAAATATTTGAGGACAGGAACATGTGACCACCACTCTCAACTGATGGGATCTAACTTTTACAAACAAGCCCCCCCCCCCCACAACAGCAAAATAACATTGTTTCAAATTGTACACAGAGGGGCCAGTGCTATGGCACAGCAGGTAAAGCTGCCAACTGCAACACCAGTATCCCATATGGGCAACCAGTTCAAGTCCCAGCTGTCCCACTTCTGTTCTAGCTCCTTGCTAATGTGTGTGGGAAAAGCAAAGAAAAATGGCCCAAGTCCTTGGGATCCAGATGAAGCTCCTGACTTTGACCCTGTCCCGCCCTTGTCATTGTGGCTATTTGGGGAGTGAACCAGCAGGTGGAAGATCTCTCTGCAACTCTGCCTTTCAAATAATTGTTATTTTTTTTAAAAAAAAAATACTGCACACAGATATCAAGATTGACCCTTAGTCTGAGCCCAGAATGAGTCTCAAACTTCTAAAATTTATTTGAAAGCAGAGATGAAGACAGAAATGCCCCTTCATCCATTTTTTCACTCCCCAAATGTCCATAAGATTGGGGCAGGGCCAGGCTGAACCCAGGAGCTGGGAAGTCCATCCAGGTTCTCTCACGGAGACGGCAGGGACCCAACTGCTTCAGCCATCAACTGCTGTTCCCAGGGTAACAGGCAGCTGGAACTGGGCTTGACACCAGGATTCAAACCCAGGCTCTCCAATATGGCAGGCAGACGACCTGAGTGGCAACATAATCAGTGTGCCAAACACCTGCCCTTCAGGAAATTTAAGAGGGCACAAGTTGTGTGAAGTATGCCTTCTAAGCATGATGAAATTAAACTAGAAATCAGTAACATAAAGAGCTCTGGAAATCGCTCAAGTATTTAGAAACTAATACACTTTTAAATAACTCACAGGACCCCCCCCCCCCCAAAAAAAAAAAAGTCAAAAGGAAAATTAGGAAGTATTTGGAATGAAAAACACACACATCAAAATGTATGGTATGCCAATAAAGTAGTACTCAGCAGAACTTTATAGTAATCAATGTCTGCAGGGGAAAAAAAGAAAATCTTCAAATCAAGACAACAACTTTCCACCTTAGGAAACGAAAGAGCAAATGAAACCCAAGCAAACAGAAGACAGGAAACAGTGTCAGAAGAAAGAAAAAACACAGCAACAGAGAAAACAAAGCAAAACCTGGTTCTTTGAGAAGGTAAATAAATTTTATAAGCCTCTAAAAAGGTTAGTGAAGAAAAGAGAGAACACACAAATTATAGTACCAGGAATACTACCAAAGAATATCTGCAGATATGAAAAAAATAAAAGAATATTATGAACAACTTTAGGCCAATAAATTTGGCTCACTCAAATAGAAATAGGTAACTGGATAGTCCTACATCCATTAACAAGA